GGAACAGATTCTTTCCTAGAGCTTTCAGAGAGAGTCCAGCCCTGGCAAGACCTCGATTTCAGATTTCTACCCTCCAGAACCATGAGACAATACATTTCTGTTGCTTCAGGCTACACTGTTTGTGGCATTTTCTTACTATAGTCCTGGAAAACTAGTACTAATACAGATGTCAACTTTAAAATGTACAGAGTTTTTCAAGATTCTTTTAGGGGGCCTGTGAGCCCAAAAATTCACTTTAGATCAGTGTTTTTCGTTTCTTTCTTTCTTTTTTTTTTTTGAGATGGAATCTTGCTCTGTCGCCTAGGCTGGAGTGTAGTGGCACGATCTCGGCTGACTGCAAACTCTGCCTCCAGGTTCAAGCAATTATCCTGCCTCAGCCTCCCAAGCAGCTGGAAATACAGGTGCACGCCACCACACCCACCTAACTTTTGTATTATTAGTAGAGACAGGGTTTCGCCATATTGGCCAGGCGGTCTCAAACTTCTGACCTCGTGATCCGCCCACCTCAGTCTCCCATAATGCTGGGATTACAGGTGTGAACCACCACACCTGGCCTAGGTCAGTGTTTTTCAAAAGTGTGCAGACACCATGTGATTCTGATGTATTTCACTCCCTTGGGAGTTTAAGTCATTTTCTGGGCTCCTTCCAGTCCCACAAAATGGGTCCTGTATTCTGCATTTTCAAACAAGTTTCCCAGGTTCTTCTACATCCCAAACCACTGCTGAAGTAGGAAGATACCTGGGCTGTAGACAAAAATTGGATTTAATCTTTACCTGGTCTATTACTGAGCAAGTCTTGTCAATTTAGACAATTTAAGAGTTCAAGTATACACTCTAGTGGGAAAATCTCCAGTTCCAAGTTGAGTGACTCTTGACACTTCTTCACTGCACAGTATTTGTATAATTGGGAGAGTGGAATAGACTTCTTAAGAGTCTGTCCAGGCCAGGTGTGGTGGCTCACACCTGTAATAACAGCACTTTAGGAGCCCCAGGCGGGCAGGTCACCTGAGGTCAGAAGTTCGAGACCAGCCTGACCAACATGAAGAACCCTCGTCTCTACTAAAAATACAAAATTAGCCAGGTGTGGTGGCACATGCCTGTAATCCCAGCTACTCAGGACACTAAGGCAGGAGAATCACTTGAACCTGGGAGGTGAAGGTTGTGGTGAGCTGAGATAGCGCCATTGCACTCCAGCCTGGGCAACACGAGTGAAGCTCTGACATTCCACAAGGCTATGAAGTGGTCCAGGAAGCGTTAGTACAGGAGAGCAAATTCAGATGCCTTTGACTTTGGGGAGATGGAGGCAAAGCACTTTGTCCATCCAATTACTTTACATTTATTGTTTGCTTGTTTGCCCTGACTCCAGTCTTAACAATTACTCTGCATTTTAAAACACTGTTGGGGCTAAAGCCCACCAGTCTCTCCCCTGTACCAAGACAGTTAGCAGCTAATGTAGCTAATTCCCACTTTCTGTCACCCCTGCAAACAAGGCAAACAGGGATGCTGTATCTGGAAGCACTAGGGGCAGGAGCCAGTCCTACTTATCCTTTTGTAAAACACCTACCAAAACGAGAAGATGGTTTTAGGTACAGCCTCCTGAAATTTGGCTTGGCTGCGGGGACAAGTTTTGCACCTACAGGAAGATCAGAATTTCCTTCCATTCTTTCTCTCCCAATCCATCCCTGACTGGTCTTTTGCCCTCTTCTGCGTAAGAAACTCGTTTTGGAGTATTTCTGGATTAACGCTGGAAAGGGACCAGCTCTGAGCCCATAGTGTGGATTCTGTGTAACAATACTATTATCAGAAAAGGGGTATTGTCCCAGACCCCAAGGGCAGGTTCTTGGATCTTGCACAGGAAAGAATTTAGGGTGAGTTGCTGAGTAAAGTTAAAATGGTTTATTAGAAACTAATCTATTAGAGTAGGGTGTCCTCAGAAAGCAAGAGGGGGAACCCCTACTTCAAATGTAATGCTTGCTTGTGTAAGATATTAGAGCTAAGAATAGTATATTTTACTATAAAGGCTTGTGATCAGCTCATGACAAACTATTTGTATTATCATTCTCTTGTGCAACTAATTTCAGCAAGAATTTATGAGTAGTCTATTATCTTTAGAGCAAAACATATTTTAAATTAAGAATACCTTTTTCCAGGCCGGGCGCCATGGCTCACACCTGTAATCACAGCCCTTTGGGAGGCTGAGGTGGGCAGATCACTTGAGGTCAGGAGTTTGAGACCAGCCTGGCCAACATGGCAGAACCCTATCTCTACTAAAAAGAGAAAAATTAGCCAGGTGCAGTGGCGCACACCTGTAATTCCAGCTACTTGGGAAGCTGAGGCACAAGAATCACTTGAATCTGGGAAGCAGAGGTTGCAGTGAGCCAAGATGGTGGCACTGCACTCCAGCCTGGGCAACAGAGCAAGACTCCATCTCCAAAACAAAAACAAGAATATCCTTTTCCATTAACTTGTTTCCTCAACCATAAACATCTTGTGATCAAGAGTGCTAACTTCCTGAGAGTGCAGCCCAGCAGGTCTTGCTTTCTCCAGCCTTTCTTTAAGATGGAGTCACTCTGGTTAGGATGCCTCTGACAATACAACTCAAATCATTGGTGGCTCAAGAAAAGGACTCACTCCTTGACCAAACTTGAGTCAGGCTCCTCTCAGTCCTCTTTTGGACTAGGCTCTGACCCTGGGCTGGTCCTTAGCTTACTTAGTTCAGTTTTAGCAAGAATCCTGCTGAGTCAGTTCAGCAAAAATCCCCTACCCTTGGTATCTGATCATCTTGGCTCGTGCTCAGCAAACATCCCCCTAGCCTTTATGTGTCCTTTAAGTAATTTTCCATCTACTGACCTCCACCCTGTTGCTTAACTATAAATCTCCACCTGTCCTGGTATTTGATGTTAAGCCTGATCTTTTGCCCCTACTGCAAAACCCCCATTGCAGCTGTTATTGAATAAAGTCTCTTACCTTCTTTAATAATTGTTTGAATAATTTTTCTTTTAGTCCCATTTCCCACTATAACATGCTGTGTGAATCTCAATTTTCTCATCTGTATAATGGAAAGACTAATACCTCCATCTCTGAGGCATGAAGAAGATCAAGTGAGATTAAAAATAACTTGGGTATGGCTGGGCAGGGTGGCTCACACCTGTAATCCCAGCACTTTGGGAGGCCAAGGCGGGCAGATCGCTTGAGGTCAGGAGTTCAAGACCATCCTGACCAATATGGTGAAACCCTGTCTCTACTAAAAATACAAAAATTAGCCAGGTGTGGTGGCTTATGCCTGTATTCCCATCTACTTGGGAGGCTGACAGGAGAATCACTTGAATCCAGGAGGAGGAGATTGCAGTGAGCTGAGATCGCACCACTGCACTCCAGCCTGGACAACAGAGTGAGACTCCATCTCAAAACAATAAAAATAGAAAACTTAAAAGTGTAAAGATAAAAATCGCCATTCTTGGGCAGGGGTCCCAGCTGTAGCCCAAGCTGGAGAACTAGATTGGTTTGGAGTTAATTTGCTTGGGGCAGGAGGAGGGTCACCTGAAAGAGATGGGCAAAGCTGAGGCTGCCTCTGGGAAGAATAGGGAAGCCTGCCCCCAGGCCAGGCCCTTGAATATGTCCAACTCAGGAGGTGGAAAGATGCTCAAGGTACCCAGGGAGACAAAAGTTGTTCACTTTGGTGCACATGTGGATCCAACACGGGAGAAAGAGGCATTCTGCGCTCACCTAGGGAACGCGGCTTCTTTGGCTGCTTCACAATTTGTAGTCTGTGGGAGCGGCAGAGCACCCTAGTGGAGGCAGGCCCAGATGTTCTCTGGGTTGGGTGTAAGGACTTCTGGGAGTCATCAGACAGCAGGCATTTGCCCCAGTGTCGGAGGTGTTTAAACCAGAGTTACTCCATCTTGAATAAGGGCTGGCTAAAATAAGGCTGAGACCCACTGGGCTGCATTCACAGGAGGTTAGGCATTCTAAGTCACAGGATGAGATAGAAGGTTGGCACAAGATACAGGTCATTAAGCCCTTGCTGATGAAACAGGTTGCAGTAAAGAAGCTGGCTAAAACCCACCAAAACCAGGATGGCAGTGGGAGGGACCTCTGCTCATCCTCACTGCTTATTATGCACTAATTATAATGCATTAGTGCGCTAAAAGACACTCCCACCAGCACGATGACAGTTTACAGATGCCATGGCAACGTCATGAAACACCCTATATGGTCTAAAAAGGGGAGGAACCCTCAGTTCCGGGAACTGCCCACCCCTTTCTCTAAAACTCATGAATAATCCAATCCTTGTTTAGCATATAATCAAGAAATAACCATAAAAATGGGTAACCCGTAGCCCTAGGGCGGCCCTGCCTATGGAGTAGCCATCCTTTTATTCTTTGCGTTCTTAATAAACTTGCTCTCACTTGACTCTATGGCTTGCCCTGAGTTCTTTCTTGCATGAGATCCAAGAATCCTCTCTTGGGGCCTGCATCGGAATCCCTTTCTGGCAACACCAGGGGCCACCCTGGGTGGGTTTCCTGAACCGATAGAGCCTTCCACGTGGGGAGACCTGGATCCTTATTGTCTGTGGTGCAGATAAGGCCCGGGTCGCACTCGAACTGTCTGCCTGGCACGCGCAGCGCTGGCATGCAAGGGGCCTTGGGTGCCACCGAGTCCGGGAGGAACTCTAGGCCGCCACCTGCCCGGAGGCTGGTACATGTGACCACCACTCAACATGTAATTCAATAAGGACTTGGAAGTCCTTTCTCTAAAGCCACACAGGTAAACGATTACCAACTGTTTACCTCACGGCCCCTCCTCATTGCGCCGCGTGGTCCGCGCCTGCGCACTCAGGCGCTGCCGGCAGGAGGAACGTACCAACTGTGGGGCAGGGGTGCGCGCGGAGACACCCGCGGGCTGCGCTCCCGGAAGTGATCCCTGGTTCGTCCCGGAATCCAGTGCGCCCACCCCGGACTTTTGCCAGCAACTTGGTGCGTTCCGGAAGCTCACCCCGGACTTTTGCCAGCCCCTTGGCCCTGGGAAGCACGTTGGCCTTCTCGGGTGGTGGGCGCTGGGGTCAGGTGCCGGCGGGCGGCGGGGATCTTCCCAGCTTGGCCTGCGTGGTTTCCGCGGGCTACCGGCCCAACCCTCTCAGGTAAGAGGGGACTGGGCCGCAGAGGTTCAGGGGAAGGGGCGGCTACTGGGACCGTGCCGACCCCAGGGGCCCCCTCCTAGGCCAAGCCTCGCCCCCCTACCTGTGCCTCCGCGCCCAAACACACTGGGCGAGGCCGAGATCTTTCGGAACAGCCGGCCCTTAACCATTGCTCCCTCTGTGCCAAGAACTGCCCTGAAATACTGTGATATTAATTAACTCGTTTAACCCTAACAACCTCATGAGGCGGGTGCCGTTACTATTCTCACGGTGTAGACGAGGAAACCGAGCACCATCGCGGCCTTGCGCGGAGGCGGGCCCTGGATGCCATGTTCTGACTCCATTGTTGGCCCTAAGCTTCCAGAAAAGAGCAGAGTGCTGTCGTGTGGTTTGAAACAGATCTCACTTTGCGTCTCTTTTGCACAGTATGAAACCTAATGATGCATGATTATTTAAAACATTCTTGCTTAGGCTTTATAAGAAGGCAAATTTGCATATGGGACAAAACCCCGAAAGATGGGATGGCTTGCTCTCCTCTTTTCCTTTCACACGTTCCTCTTTTCCAATTCCTGTCTCTCACCACCTTTCAATCTTCTCACGGAAGGTTGTAGGGGAAGGTGAGGCTTGTGGCCCCAGCAGGTGCTTAAAATCCCTTACGTGGTGGGGGTGGAGTAGACACTCCCTCTTCCTGCAGTGCTGGAGTGAGAGCAGAGGGGCTGTTGGACCTGGACGGAGTTGGGGTGGGAAAGGCCTGGCTTAATCATGGTATACTCAGGGTGGGGTTCTACTTCTCTTGTAGGCACTAGAGAAGTAGAAAAGTGGCCCCTTTCCTTCTGGGCATGCACTTGGGAAAAGGCCTGATATGAGTAGCGAGAAGAATGTCTCTAATTTCTTGAGCCAGTATAAGTTTGTGCAGAGATGCTTCCCAGCCCAGGCTAAACCAGATCACTCAGCCAGCCGCTGGCTGCCTTTACAGATGTGCGGCTCCCCATGAGGAATCCCCATGAGAGCCTGGCTCTCAAGCATAAGCTGCCTCACTTCCCTCCTGCACTGCACTCTTGGACTTGCCTGCCACCAGACCCATCTTATTCCTCTGCCAGGAAAAATAAGATTCCTTCCTGGTCTCGGAGGCTGATCTCTTCTGCCTCCTGTGCCCTGGATCCCTTTCTCCAGGAAGCTTCTCTTCCCTGTGTAGTTAGCCTCCCCTGTCTTCCAATGGCACCCTCTCTCTGTTTAGGGATGCAGCCACGCCTTTTCCCTCCCATCCCCACCTGGAGCAGTCACCGATCCTGCTTCTCCCCCACTTCCTGCTGTACTGCCCACCGAAGGGACCTTTGACCCCATGAACCACTACTTTCTGGAAGCAGTGATTTCTTGATTTCCCTAACTTCACTTTACTTTGTTTTTTCTTTGTCTCTCCCCTCTGTTTCTCAGTCACCTTTGAGATCTGCTCATCCTTTCACCTCCCCATATTGTCAGCATTACCTGGGCAGCCCCCCTCTGGTGTTTTCCCTCAGTTTCTCTAGAAACTTGCCTGAAGATTTGTCCCAAAATAGCCCAAGTGGACCTGTATGGAGTAAAGAGGATCAGTATGGAGTCTCTATCGTTCCTCCTCTTCCACTGGAGGCTCAGGCATGGGCTACACCCTGAACAGCTCTCTGCACGGTCTCCTCCACCTGCTCTGCCGTTACCTGGCCCTGATCCTCTTTCCCTTTTGCCTCCCAGTTATGTGCCTTTTTCCCGTGTGGCCTGGCTAGGGTACTTTCCCAGCTGCTGCCCACGTGATGGACTGTGGGCAGATGTGCAGCCCAAAAGGCCGTGCCTCGTCTTAGAAGCCCTTGGAATCTTAGCTTGCCATGGTTGTAGGCCTCCAGTTTGTGTTGTTAGCTGTGGCGATGTGTGCCACAAGTAATTTCTCTTTTTTTTGAGACAGAGTCTTACTCTGTCACTCAGGCTGGTGTGCAGTGGTGCATTCTCAGCTCACTGCAGCCTCCTCTTCCCTGCTCAAGCCATCTTCCAGCCTCAGCCTGCCAAGAAGCTGGGACCACAGGCACGAACCATCATACCCGGCTGATTTTTTGTATTTTTTGTAGAGACAAGATTTCGCCGTGTTGCCCAGGCTGGTTGGTCTCAACCTCCTGAGTTCAAAGCAATCTACCCACCTTGGCTTTCCAGAGTGCTAGAATTATAGGTGTGAGCCACCACACCCGGCCACAAGTAACTTCTTACTAATAAAGTACTACAGCTTGTCAATGACTTTCTTTTTAAAATTTACATTTTAGATTCATTTGGATTCAAAGTTGGCTCTCAACAGTGCCAGCTGCACTGTCATCCTGAAGTACTCCTGTGGAAGAGAACATGGTGGTGTTACTGTTGTGCCAGTGATAACACAAGATCCCAGACCTACCTGACGGGGTCTGACAGGGACCGAAGATCATGAAGCAATAGCCTAAGGTAAACAACCCCTTGAAAGACAGGTCGAAGCTCTTCAATGTAATAGACCTTGTTTCTCAGTAGGTCAGCCTGGGGGCCCCCCCAGGGATACCTCCCCACCTCATAGCATCATACCCACTTTCCCCTGGTCTAGTGATAAGCCCTTTTCTAGGCTGTCATCTCATCCTGAGTCCTATGTGCCAGCCAGGCAGCTACTGCCCTCTATTCATATCTTGAAGGCACAATGCTGGCTCATAGTAGACATTTGATGAATTCCTGTTAAATGAGTGAATCAAGAGTATCTACAGAGTATAACATTTATGATAAGACAGGGCTAATTGGGAAACAGAACAAGATTGGTGTCCTGGAGTAACTGGGTAGGTCTTAAGATGAAGATTTTGCGTCATCTGCTGGGTGCAGTGGCTCACACCTGTAATCCCAGCACTTTGGGAGGCTGAGGCAGGGGGATCACTTGAGCCCAGGAGTTCAAGACCAGCTTGGGCAATATGGCAAAATCCCGTCTCTACAAAAAACACAAAAGTTAGCTGGGTATGGTGGTGCATGCCTGTAGTCCCAGCTACTTGGGTAGCTGAGGTGGGAGGATTACTTGAGCGCAGGAGGCAGAGGTTGCCACAAGCTAAGATCATGCCACTGCACTCCAGCCTGGGTGACAGAGCAAGACTAGATCTAAAAAAAAAAAAAAAAAGATTTTGGAGTGTGACCCTGTTCTGCAGACAGCCTGTGGAGGCCTGGATATTCATACTCTGGGATTGCAGATTCCTCAGTCATGAAGTGAAAGCTGAGTTAAGTCCCCTCCAGTGTGACATCCGAGAGCCGTTGTGGGCCCAAGACAGTAGCCTGTGTTTCATCTGCAGCTTTACCGAGCCCCTCCTCTCGCAATGGGCCTTCAGTTCTTGGATTTATTAGTGGCTGAAAGTTCTTGCGAGATGGGCTTAAAGCTGTTGCCACTTAACCTTTCTGAGGCTCTTCTGGCTGGAAGGAGCTCCGCTTTCTGGCCAGAGTCTTGCTTGAGCCCCCTTAGCTATCTTGTCACCTGTTAGAGGCAGCCCTGCTATCTCTGGTGACCCTTTTGAAACATTAGCCTGGTGAGTAATGTTTAACATCACTCATTGTCAGATCTTTTTTAATCTTCTTTTTTTTTTTTTTTTTTTTTTGTTTCAATACCAGTAAGTCTTCATTTATTTATTTGTCTCTTTCCAGGGAAAGGAGAAGGGAAATGAAAAGGGTCAGCATGTGTGTTACAAAGGGAAAAGGAAGTACCTGGTACAGAAAAATCAACCATCCAATAGATGCACTGCAGAGGGGGGTCACCAAAGCCCAAGGGGCCTTGGCCTCCTACAATTCAGGGATGAGGGGAAGGGATCAGGGAAGATATAAGCCTTTCTATCCTCCCTCCCTGCCCCTACATTCAAGATTTCACATACAGCTTTGGTTTCTAGCAGTAAACATGGAGGTTACATTCATCTGTCTCCTTTTAAACAATCTTGTGGCCACTTTGGCATAAGTTGTTGCACTGGGCCAGACATGGTGGCTCACGCCTGTAATCCCAGCACTTTAGGAGGCCAGGGGAAGAAGATTGCTTGAGCCCAGGAGTTTGAGACCAGCCTGGGCAACATAGTGAGACCTTGTCTCTACACAAAAATAAAAAGAATTAGTCAGGCGTGTTGGTGCACACCTGTAGTTCCAATTACTTGAGAGGCTGAGGTGGGAGGATCGCTTAAGCCTGGAGGGTTGAGGCTGCAGTGAGCCAAGATTATACCCCTCCACTCCAGTCTGGGCGACAGAGAAAGACCTTGTCTCAAAAAAAAAAGTTTCTTGCACCTGCATAAAAGTTCCTAAGTGACTTGTATATATACTCATATTCCTTTGCCTGGTCTCCTGACCCCACTTGTAGGTAGAAGGCCCCCAGTTGCTTCTCTTTCCTTTGAGATTATAGATTAAATCAGTTTGATCCATCCACATAAAGCAGTGTCATAAGTGTTTGGGGTGAACCAGGTTGACTCTGGTTGGGAACAAAAGGTGGAGGGCTCTGAACTTCTTCAGGGCGTTTGCATAAATCATTTAAGAGTTGCAGAGACAGCACAAGAATTAAATATATGTGTTTGTGGGTATGTAGGTTTTCTTTTGGGGGAGGTGAATGGAGAAGAGGGGAGGATAGAAGTCAAGTTTTAGAAGATCTGATCCAAAATAGGAAATAGAGGTAGGGGAACACAAAGAAAGGATAGTTCAAGATGCCTCCTTCAAGAAGAGGTCCCCAAACTAATGTTTCAGATCCCTTTTGCCTGATTCAGAACCTTCTGTAAAGATGCTTTGGCCATTTTTCTCAATACAAAAAAGTTTGTAAACAGTGAAACCCCAAGAGAACGTGGAGAAAGACCAACACATTATATTTACACAAATTAGGCCACCTAGCAGTCACCAACTGAGACGCGGTAAAGTCCTACAAAGGCCAGACAAATAACAGGAATTAAGGGGGCAGCATCAGGGGAAACAAACCCAGGGTCAGACGTGTACCCCAAACACGTTCTGTCGCGCTTGTCTCAGTCCAGCAAGGGAGGTTTGTGGTGATCTTACAGCATGTAAATTAAGCTCCCTTATCCCCTGAGTTACTGTCATACTGAATTCATGCTGCAGCAGGGCGGGACGCTGGCTATGCATACCACATGGGGAGGCCCTCCCTTGAACCCAAGAGTTTAGAAAGGTTAAGAATGTTAGTCCTTGCCTCATTTATCCTCCGGACAGCACAGGATGAGTACAAGGCACTGGTCTTAAAACTTAGCCTTATAAGTCACATGTTTACAAATACACATGCATACCCCCTGTTACGGATGGTAGGCCCAGCCCAATCCAATGAAGGATGGATCTGGTGTGTGAAGCAAGTCCCATGCCCTAGGATTAGGAAACCGTTGTCTAAGCTTGGTGTCCCTTGGTGTCTCTGTACCTTAGTCTAATTTTCAATCTTCCAGTAGCCAGAGATCAAGTCTTGGGCAATCCAGTTGAAACCTAGTCTCCCGTGAAACATTTTCAAGGTGGAGGGGGTTTCAGGAGGACACTGTGGCAGGAAAGCCGACTCTCATTGGCAGAAATGAGGTAGTTCAATAGGCTGGGTTCTCCACATAGTTGCTCTTCGTGGTGAGAAAAATAACCAAAAGTATTCCAGCTGTGGAGACATGGAGCTGCTGCTGACTTATCCCTGACGTTGCTCAGTACCTGAGAACAGTACAGGAATGAGAGTCCTAGATTAAAACAGACAACAATAGCAACAGAACATTAAGGGGAATAGACTCTAAGATGCACAGGATACATTAGTAGCACAGCTAGTGCTCTGGGCACCCAGGAGATGGGACCGAGGTACAGCATCCAAAGGAGTGAATCAGTCCCAACGCACTGGCCCGGAGCGGGATGGGGTGAGTGTGGGAGCAGCAGGTCTGCGATGGGTCCCCCAGCCACCCTGTCTGCCTATCTCTGCCACCCATTGCTTGGGACCGTTCCCAGGACCCTTTCCCAAGAGTGGGCTGTGAGGAAACAAGATATGAATAAAACCCTGCCTGCCATGAGGGAGTTCCTCCCTCAGAAGGTAGTGGCTGTGGGTTGGGTCCATTAATTGATTAATTAATCTGGTCTCATGCTTAATCATTTCACTCCGGCATGGGAAATATTATGATTACCCATCCTTCTTTTTTTTTTTGAGATGGAGTTTAGCTCTTGTTACCCAGGCTGGAGTGCAATGGCGTGATCTCAGCTCACTGCAACCTCTGCCTCCTGGGTTCAAGCAGTTGAACTTGAACTCTCCTGCCTCAGCCTCGCGAGTAGCTGGGACTACAGGCGCGTGCCACCATGCCCAGCTAATTTTTTTGTATATTTAGTAGAGATGGGGTTTCATCATGTTAACCAGGATGGTCTCGATCTCTTGACCTCGTGATCCATCCACCTCGGGCTTCCAAAGTGCTGGGATTATAGACGGGAGCCCCTGTTCCCAGCCTAGCCATCCTTCTTAAAAGGGAAAACAACTTCCCTGACCAGGCCACTTTTGAAAGCTGGAGATTGTAGGGGTGGTACCTCAGACAAAGCATGTAGGCTCCAGATCGATTTCCCCTAGCTCCCCTCTTTTGCATTTGGATAGAGCTTGGTTGGAGTTCCTTTGCCTTCCCTATTCCCCCACCAAGAGGGTAGAAGGGCTGGTGCTGTGAACCCTGGCCTGAGATACATGGTAGATCATGCCAGCCACCCCCAACCCACCCCAGCCCCACTTTCTCCACTCTACTGACAGATGCCTGCTCCTTGAAACTTCATGGTAGCAGAGAAATAGCCCACAGCCCTGTGACTCAAGTCTTGGCCTCCGGGAGCGGGACAGGGCTGCGGATCTCTTCTTCCAAAAATGGGTTGGCTTTTCCTGTGCACTGGGGACTGCCTGGGCCTTCAGTGGACATGAGGCCACCATGTGGCTGAGACTCTGGCAGAAGGGGAGCTTCTAGGGCTGGGATGGCAGCTTGTGACAGTCTAGGCCTTTCCAGCTGTAGCGCTGTCTCCCCGTAATCTGCACTCCTGCATGTTCTTTCCCTGTGACTGCCTCTCACTGTCAGTGCAGAACACCCTGCCAGGCCCTGGGTAGACTTCTTCAAGGTGCGCCCCACTGCCTCACCCTCCATCAGGTTCTGGAAGCCCTCTGTGTGCAGCTTGCTCTGGTGCACAAAGACATCCATCAGGTGTGAGTGCAGCCCCGGTGCTGGCAGTCATGGGCAGGATGCCGAACCGTACGCACACATTGAACCCCGTGCAGATGCCAGCATTGTGCCGCAGCTGCAGCTCGCTTGCTGCCTGTCCTCTGCTGCCTTGGCACAGCCACCTGCAAACTGCTGGTGGGACCCAGAGCCCATGTTCTTGGGCGGAGCCTGCAGCCCCGGACCTCTGGTCAACAGCTGTTGGCCACACAGAAGTGCAGAGGCAGAAGGGCCAGGTTTTCCATCTGCATCTTCCTGATTTGAAGGGTTGAAGCCTGCTTACTTTCAGATGTTCGTGGAAGGATTATTAAGTTATCTTCCTCTGAGTCTTCTCTGCCAAGGAAGCACATCCTAGTTCACTGGATTTTTCCTTTCCTATCATTTTCTTTTCTTCCCTCTATCTATGTCTCTCAGGCTTCTCTGTGTCTCTTTTCTCTTTAGAGTCCTGAACTTAACCTAATCTCTGGGAAATGAATTATGGGGAAAGGAATTAAGGGTTATCCTAGGTTTGGGGCTTGAGCATCTGGGTGCAAGGGCATCCCACTTCCCCAGCTTGCGTTGACTGGGAAGAACAGGTGGGAGAGCCACCTGTAGAAGAGGTGAGCCGAATGTGGCCTGGCCATGGTCAGGATGCAGGTGGTGATCAAGCCGAGGGAGAAGGGAAGTCATCGGAGACTGGGTTGGATGAGGGCAAAGGGCCTTGGGAAGGCAGCCCAAGGAGCATCAGTTGAGGGGCAGGCAGGGTGAAAGGGGCCAGAAGAGACTAGAAAGGAGCAGAGGTGAGAGGAGATCCGGGCAAGTGGCATCCTGGCCGGGGAAGACAACTCTCAAAGGGAGGGAGAGGCAGGGCCTTCAGGTGATGGAGAGAAGTCTATCTGAGTGACAGAGCGGATACTGGGTGCCTTTGCAGGAGCCATAGAAGAGTGAGTTTCGTGGGGAATGGGAGGTGAGAACATCTAAGCCCTTCCAAGAATTTCTCTGTGCCACAGAATGGAGAGTGAGAAGACCCTGGGAGCCTTTGGGGATGCAGTTAGGGGCTGCCCCTTCCTGTGTTCTCTGAAAGCAGCTGACAGGTGCCAGGTACAGCCCAGGTGCTCAGGACACAGCGATGGAGATGCTTCACTCCCTCCCGGCCAGCACCCACAGCAGCCAGCACTGGCCTCTCTCTTGGGGAAACCTTGGTGACAACTTGGTGAGGTCAGTTCCCTCCCTGCAGTGTCACTGTGGCTCTAGTTCTTTGTGTCAATGTGGATCCTTTATTCTCATCTGTCTCCCACCGCCCAAGGCCATGTGGACACAGGGTCCTTGCCTACTTGGCAGTGACATCCATGACACATAGAAAAGTTGCCACATGTCCTAGGTTTCCAATAAACCTTGAAAGAGAAAAAGAGGAAAATCAGCCAGTTTGGCAAAGAAGACAGCCGCAGAAACTACTCCTGTGCAGAGGGCTGTGGGGATCCTGTTGGGGGCTGCCCCATTCAGCTGTGGGAGTGAAAGGTACTGCCAGGGAGATTGGATCTGGAGAGCTCTGTCCTGGAGCTGACTTTGTTATCTTGCTGCACCTTAAACCTCCTCTCTCCTTTCCCAGCTTGTCCTCCCCTTCCCCTCCGTGTTCCACAGAGCTCAGTAGGGCAGCTGAGAGCCATTCTTTTCATCTTCCTTTGCAGCGTGGGTCCATCTCATTTCCCCAAGTTTCCAAGCATGATGGAAGTAGAAGAAATAAAAAAGACCCCCAAAAGACTGCCTCCCTCAGGATCAGTGGGCCAGGAGCCCCTTGTGTGTGCCGACTCCCCTGTGACGAGGCCCAAGAGTTCAGCTGCCACCCTGGCTTGTCCCGCCCCTGAGCTCAGCACCAAAGCTACCAGCACCTCTCAAGGACTTGACTGGGTGACCAGGGAGGGACTGCTAAAGACAGGCCAAACTTAAGCTTGTAGACAGAAAGAAGATTGGTAGTGGCCGTAGGAGGAAAATCAGACCTCTGGCTCCCAAAAGGAGCTGAAAAGGGTCCTGTCCCTGCAAAGGAGCAGCCCCTGCCCCCTGCCCAGTGGCACATCAATCCTTTCGCCTAACCTGGACCAAGTTTTCCTGGAAAAGCAGGTAGAAAGTGTTCTTGGCCCACCTGTTTGCAGTGAAAAGAGAAAAACCCGCTCCGTGGGGAGGCTTAGGCGTCACCCGCCCACCTCCCATGCAGAGCGCTGGTCCATCCCTGGGCCACATAAGCCAAGCCGAGACCCTGGAGTCTGTGGCCTCAAACCTGTGTGTGAGCAGGAGCCCCCTGTGCCGCCCGAGAAGAAGGTACCCCGGCAGAAGCCACGGGGATGGAGAAAGGAAGGGAAGCAGACAGAAAAGAAGCTGAGGTCCTTGTCACTCCGCTCTGGCCAGGCCCCTTCTCTTCCAGCCCTGGTTCAGACCCTCTCGGGCCCCTGCCAGATGCCCAGTCCTGACAGGTTGGGGGGGAACCAGTCCAGGGAGAGTGAGAGAGTAAAACAGGTAGACATCCTGACAGCTTGTTTGGCCAGAGAGGCGCGACACCTCTAGAAGTGGAAGAAAAAGCATTTGCTTCCAGGTGTGTGGGAGAAGTCGGGGCCCCAGCCCAGCCTCCGGAAGTCCCCCTGGTTGGAAAAGTTGGCCAGAGCTGTAAAGGCCGAGCCCCAAGGCCCGGGTCCTGCCCAGTGTTTCCCAGGCTCTCTGCATGCTGCAGAATCACAGGCCCCGCAGGACATGGGGCAGTTCTTTACCATTGACTGCAAGAACATGGGCCGTGCCATCTGCACTTTGTGTCATGCCAGTGTCAGACAGGGCAAAACTAAGCGGCGGTCCCAAACCTTGGGCCTCATCCGCCACTTGGCAAGTAAGCATGGGCTGGAGTGGGTGAGAAGGGCAACCCCTGCCAGCCAAGGGGAGGGCACGAGGAGGGCACAGGAGATGGAGCCGAAGGGCTTGTCCATGGGTCCCACCAGCCTTGCCCTGGGGGGCCTCCCCTCTCCAAGACATTGCCCAGAAGGCAGTGACAGGGAGCCAGCCCCGGGCAGACCAGAGCAGCTGTTGCTGGCCCCGCCGCCCCTGCCTGCTTCTCCCACAGCAGTCGGGCACAACGGAGGTGGCACCTGTACCCCCAGGCAGCCCGGTGCACAGGCCTGCAACCACAGCATCACAGAGTTGCTCTGCAGCCTGGCCTTGCCGCTCTCCATTGTTTCGTTCCGGCCCTTCAGGAGGTTTATGGCCCAGGTGTATCCTTGCTACTGCCTGCCCTCTCCAGCTTTCTTCTGCAAAGCCTTGCCTCTGCTGCACAAAGCTGTGGGCGAGCAGGTGCTTCAGGAGATGCAGTGGGCCGAGGGGGGCTGTGTGTACCTCGCTGTCACCATGGCGGCCCGTGACTCCCTTGTGAAGTACGTGGCCATCACTGCCCATTGAGGGGTAGCATCACCGGGCGGTGGGCAGGCAGGGGGACTGCGGACGCAAGCCGTGCTCTTGGTGCGAGGCCTGTCCCTGGAGGGAACCGTGGAGGACCAGCAGCTGGAGGTGCTGGAGCAGGCCGGCCTGTGGCTTGGCCGTGGCTCCCTGCGGGCGGGCTTCCTGGTATCGAATAGCTGCCCCAGCCTGGAGCGGGCGGCCAAGGACGAGGGCTATACTCACATCCCTTGTTTCGCCCACTGCCTCGACTCCCTGGTGAGAAACTTGCTGCGTCACCACCACAGTGTCCAGATCATCCTGGACACTGCCAGGACCATCTGCAGCCATTTCCAGGGCTCCGCAGAGGCCCAGGGGCTCCTCACCCAGCTCCAGCGTCTGTGGCCTCCCAGCCCACCAGCCCTTTGAGGAGCTCTTGGACCACTGGGTCTCGGCCTGCCACCTGCTGGAGTGGCTGGTGGAGCAGCAGCAGCCCCTTCAAGAGTACAAGGGCAGGCACCAGCTAGGGAAGGCTGGTACCGCCTTGTCAGCCACATTCTGGGGCCTGGCAGACAGTCTCGTCAAGCTCCTGCAGCCCTTCCAGATGGTGGTCCACGAGGCGAGTGCGGTGCAGGCCTCTCTGAGCCAGGTGCTGCCCCAGCTGCGCTACCTGCACATCTTCCTGGAGCAGGTTCACGGACACTTTCAAGAGCAGAGCGTTGGAGAGGCGGGCGCAGCTGTCCGGCTGGCTGAGGCGTTGGCCCTGCAGCTCTGCACTGACTGTCAGCTCAATGAACTCTTCTACCGCGAGGAGTTCGTGCTGGCCACCTTGCTGGATCCCCGCTTCAAGGGCAAGATTGAGGCCATCCTGCCCGTGGGGGCCGACATTGACCACTGGAAGCAAGTCTTCGTGTACAAGGTGAAGGAGATTATGGTGTCTGAATACTCTTTGACCACCCCAAGCCCCTTGCAAAGCCGCAGAGTAGCCAAGAGCCCCAAGGTGGCAGGGAAGAACCAGGGAGAGCATCTACAGAGCAGTGGCCACTCTGGGGTCTTTCTGCTTGCCCAGAGGGAGAAGTGCTTGCTGGAGCGACTGGAGAGTGTGGGGCTGCTGGCCTCCAAGAGCAGCGGGGGCTCGCTGTCCACTGAGAACCACTTGGCCAGCATCATCGTCAAGAAGTACCTGCGGGAGAATGAGACCATCGGAGCCCAGGATGACCCCCTGGCTTACTGGGAGAAGAAGCGAGAAGCCTGGCCAGACTGGCCACTATCTATCTGTCTTGCCCCCCAACGGGAACCTTCTCTGAAAGTGTCTTTGCCTCCTTGAACAGCCCCACCCTTGTAGAATAAAACTCTTCTCTTGAGGTGGAGGCCATTGAGCATCTCCTCTTCCTGAAGACCAACCTGGAACACTTCCCAAACTACACCCCGCCTCCCCTTGTCTGCTACAATGGTGACCTGGCCAAGGGAGAACAGAGCCTGCAGTCTGCTCAGGGTGGGAAGGCAGACATGGCAGGTGCCAGTGCCCACCCTGCCGTGAACTAGAGATCCCCTGCCTGTAGTAGGTCAGAGCAGAGAGCAGGGTGTTGCATCCTGAGTGTCACATGCTCATGGCCAGAATCTTTAACCTATTTGGTAAGAATGGGTCAGTTTCTCACTTCTTGACAGATAGCCATATTTTTTTCCTAGGAGATGTCATTTTCCATCTCCCCATTGCCTCCTTTATGTCTAGTGGTATGTGCCGAGAAGAGGCTTACTCTTCGTAGGTGACTGAATTTTGTACGGCATGGCTTTGTACATGTGATGCTATGTTAAAACATAAGTAGGTGTGAAGGACCTTGCATACACCTTGCCTGTGCAGATAAGTGGATACGTGCCCTTGAGAGGCTTGCTTTCTCAGAGTGGCCAAGGACATGGAATGGGCATTTGCTGGCAGGTGGGATATATCCTCAGCCTCTGGGGACCCGGGTAAGCTATTGCAGCACTTTCTGAGGCTTTCACTGTAGGGGAAGGAAATCCCAGGGTAGAATAGCCATTTCTAGAGGGAAGTGCACACATACCCCCACAAACCAGTCTTTCTGGGGATTTCAGAGTGGCCAGCTAGCCAGGAGAGCTGAGACACCAGTCTTCAAATGGCCTGCTTACCAATAGTCTGTTTCCAGACTACTGGAAACCTTGGGGTTTCTCCCTCCAGTGACAGCAGCCTCAGTCGCTCTCCTGGGCTCCTGGTGGCTGTACACTCTGCCAGCCATCACTCTTGCCCCTGCTTGTCCTGGGCCATTTTTAAAGGGGAAGTCCCTTATTGGAGAAGAGAAAGGATGTGTGTAGTACACACTCATCCTGGCTTGCTCAGAGTTCCTTTAGGGTAGAGTTGAGGGCCTGGGATCCAGGGACCAGTGGGATTGGACAGGAGAATGAAGAAGGGGAGAGGCTCGTTACCCCCACAAGACTTGCATCCAGGTAGCCTGAGGGTTCCTGGTCACTGGGCACGGTGGCTGCTGAGATGCAGGTTGGAAGAGGCAGGGGAAGGCTCCAGGCCTAACTTGGAGCATGTCACTGGCCATGGAGTGAGGGGACAGACTCTCCCCTCACTGGCTGGCAGCCCCAGGAGCCTGTTCCCTCACCTCTCCTGGATGGGTTATTAGCCCTGTGTTTCACTGTGACCAATTCATTGTGACATTTGCATATTGCTGAAGATGTAAACACAGGAAACATTACATTCCTTTCATTCAGAGATGGCCTCTGTCAATAGTTTGACATTTTTCCCTTTTTTACATTGAGATGATACCTTAGGCACTGTTTAGTATGCAGTATTTTCATTTTCCCAGCATAATAATTGCACCTTTTAAATAAAGCTTTGTAAACATCATTTTTTAATGTCTGGAGTAGCATGATTTGGATGAAAGTCTGGCCTCCAAATTGCTTAGATCACTCCACTGCCTGTAGCACTAGGTGTGGGAGTGGGATTGTGAGGACACATTCCTGGCTCCTGGGAGGCCAGGTTTGTCTGGGAGGGGCCTCACTGCTGTCCCTGGCTCTGAAATCAGCGTTTGGATAGTAGGGGCAGGGCTTGCTGGATCTCCCCGCAGTGTCCTGCACCTCGCTCCCAGGATCCTGATTCACATGTCGGAGCAGGGAGGATCCGGGAGTGTGACGCATCCTCACGTTGGCTGGCATGTCTGTGCTGCCATCCTCGAGCAGTCTGAGCTGTTCTTGGAAATAGTGTCATCCCTCTGCTGTCGGCATCACCGAGCGGGCTTGTGTTCCGGGAAAGAACTGGGAGGCCTAGGATGGTGAGGCAGCGAGGCTTGGGGGAAACACGTGAGAAGACTGGGTGGGGGGTGAAAGGAAGAGGGGGAAAGAGCTTGATGGCACTGAGCTACGGGGCTTGGACTCTAGAGCTTTCACTGTGATCTAGGGGCAGTGGGTCCCGCAGTGGACACTGACAATGTCTGGAGGTGTTTGTAGCTGTTCCAAATGGGGTAAGGGGAGTGGTTCTGTTGGTGTCTAGTGGACAAAGGCCAGGGTTGCTGCTCAGCACGCTCCAATGCACAGGACGGCCTCCACACCAAGGCTCAGCCCGCCCAGATGGCAGTAACACCAGGGTTGGGAAGGCCTCTTCCGGAGCACTAGTTAGAGCCCCTAAACTTAGCTCTGCCCTGCAGTCATCATTTCCCAGGTAGATGACACTCTCCAAGGCCTGGGACCATCTTCCCTGGTTCTCAGCCTCCCTCCGAAGGGGCCCAAGTGTCATCCTTGCCAGCCAACTTGAGGATGTCATCCTTGTCACCAGGCCTCTTTCCAGACTCTTGCTGGGCCAGGAAGTCTCTGCTCCCTTCATTTCCATAGTTAGGACAACGATGGCTCCCACTGTAGAGGAGTGCTGAAGCAGGTGGAGGTGCGGAAAGCCATCCTCCATGTATCTGTGGGCAGCCTGATGTTAGTTGATTCTGCGCAGGTGGGCACCAGCTGGTTCTCAGTCCTCCCAGGCCACCTGCTTGCAGTGTGCAGATGATGGACCAGGAACACAGCAGAGGTCACTGACCCCCAAGAGAATGAGGGTGTTGCATGACCCATTACCAAGACTCAGGTGGCCTGCATCGTGGTGAGGGCAGGACGGGGCCACATTGGTGCAGGGCTGTGTGCTGGAGGGCAGCAGGAAAGGGCCAATTTCTATCCCGGTGGGGTCTTTCCGCTCTGTTTCCTCTTCTGTAAACCATGTTCCTGATGTGAGCATGCACAGTTGCCTGCCTGTCTCTCCCTTTGCTGAGCCATCATCTCCATCTAAAAAGCCACTGACCCTTAGAGCATTCACTTCTTAACCTCTGCCGTCCTGCTCTGGCCTCACCTGTGCCCAGGACTGCTCATCCAGTGGCTGTGTCTGAGGCCTCATCTCATCTGAGTCCAGTGGGGTGTCCTAGCAGTGTTCTCCCTCTGGCTGCTTGGCAGGATCCTTCATGGACTCATTCGTTCAGCCTCATAGGTCAGCCCCCACCTCTGCTGCTCACTGTGCACAGGGCACCTTCCACATTCAGTCCTGAAGTAGCAGGTATGTGGGAGGGGTGCCTGCTCCTAGAGAGAGGCCTTTGGGTTCTTAGTTTTGTATCTCCAGCACGGTTGGCCCTGTGTGCTGCATGCCCTTCTTGATGCCAGCTGCCATCTCCCTGCTGATGGTGCCTGCATCCCTCTAGCCTAGAGCTCCAGCTGCCTCCGGAGCCCGGTACCACACTGTCGCTCAAGCTCAGTGCTGTGTAGCAAGATGTCTTCTTGTCTCCAATCTGTCCCACCTGCATTTCACATATCTGAGAAGGGAGCCCCAGGCCGGGCACAGTGGCTTACACCTGTAATCCCGGCACTTTGGGAGGCCGAGGCGGGCAGATCACCTGAGGTCAGGAGTTCCAGATCAGCCTGACCAACATAGTGAAACCCTGTCTCCACTAAAAATACAAAAATTAGCCGGGCGTGGTGGCGCATGCCTACAATCCCAGCTACTTGGGAGGCTGAGGCAGGAGAATTGCTTGAACCCGGGAGGCAGAAGTTGCGGTGAGCTGAGATCACTCCATTGCACTCCAGCCGGGGGAGCAAGAGTGAAACTCTGTTTCAATAAAAAAAAAAAAAAAGCGGGGGAGCCTCTTGCATACGGTCACCCAGCCCCATCCCCAGTTGTCCTAGGCTCTGTTTCCTCCTCCCCGTCACTTCCTGCCCTCCTTAGGGCCTGTATCTTTGCTTGTTTTCATAGCAGACAGGTGTCTAGTGCCTGGTGCTCCTCCTGCACCCGCTCCCCCGCCAACTCTAGGGGCCAAAGCAGCTTTAATTAAAGGCAAAGTTGATTTCATCACTCCCTGTTTACAAACCCCAGAAGATTCCATTCCCATTGAGGGAATCCACGCGTCTCAGCAGATGCTTCCAGTCCCTTTTGGAAAGAAATGAGGTATAAAGAGAATGAACTGGAGTCTTGCAGACTAGAGGGGAGCTAGATAAGGAAATGGGGACCACAAGCACAAGGACCCTCTTCCTAGGTGGGGTGGAGAGGGCATAAGGATGGCAAGACCTATTTACATCCTTGCCAGCTCCCTGGCTGGGAACATAGTAAATATCTTTGTTGATGGGGTGTGAGGAGGAGCTAAGTAGACCAGGCTCTGGGCCTGGTTTCCTTGGAGAGGGGAAAATGAAAGTGCTGACACGTAAACTCCCGACTCCGGAGTCTCCGACACCCTGCATCCATGGATCTGCAGGGCAGGCATCACCCCACCAGCCTGGGTGAGCCTCCTGGGGCTGGGCTTGGCCAAAGGCTGCCAGGTTGGAAAGCTGAGCTTGGAAGACGTCTGTTGTTTTCCTTTCTGTCAAATGCAGAGTAGGGGCAAAACATCATTATTTTACTTTTTCAGTAACCACTCACAATCTGTCCTTATTAATTTTGGGGT